TCTGCTTCTTCCTCTGTCCCTCCCCCTCTCTCACTCTCGCTCTCAAATAAATAAATAAAATCTTAAAATACACATTTTATCTATTTAGAGAGAGAGAGAGCACATGTGCAAGGGGTGGGGCAGAGGAGAGGGAGAGAGAGAAGCTCAAGCAGACTCCTCGCTGAGCACAGAGCCCAATGAGGGGCTCGATCTCAGGACCTTGAGATCATGACCTGAGCTGAAATCAAGAGTCAGACACTCAGCAAACTGAGCCACCCTGGTGCCTCTGAACCCCCACTTCATATGTCCAAAACCAGACATTTGGCTCTCCAGTATCTGGCCTATTAGACTAAGGAACCCCACAGTCCTCTGACATCCCAATCATGACAACCACATCCGTCATCTCTGCCTTCCAAGCCAAACAACAGACCCTAGTCAGTCTGTCATTCCAACGAGGCCACCAGACTTATAGTGTCTGTCAGACTAGTCAAAGGGCCCCCCAATGTCTCTTACCTCAAACCGAAGCCCCAAACCTGTCATCACCCCAAAACAGATAACCAGCACTTTGGTCTCTCTAACCCCAAACTGGACAATTGGTCTGTGCCCCTGACACCCCAAATGAGAAAACCATGAGTTTCAGACACCCCAATGGAATCCACCAGACCCCCAATTTCTGTTGCTCCAAACTAGTCACCGAACGTTCACCCTTTATCCCAAAACCTTAAAATGCTGGAGTCCTCGCAACTAGATACCATCTGTCTCCCCAAACTAGATCTTAAAATCCCAGCCCCCATCACCCCAACAAGGACCCCCATCTCTGACAGCGAGAACAATCCCAGTCCAGGTCTCTCCCAACCAGACAAAAGAGTCCCTAATTTGTCACTTACCATTTGGAACTAGACCCATTGTGTTGGTTCCTAACCCTAAACTACACAAGTAGACAGTCCCCAAACCTTAAAAATGCAACTCCCTGGTCGGGGTCACCTCACACTAGCCAGTAAGACACCTCCATCGGTGTTGTCCCAAGTTACACAGCAGGACCCCCAGGCTCCAGGTCTCCAGACTAAACCACATGGCCTCTCTCTGTGGCTGTAAAGGAGACAAGAGGCCCCCAGCATGTCACCTCCAGCCAAGGGGACACCTACCTTGTCCTCCCAAACCAGGGTCCTAGACTCCCAAAGTCATGCCCCCAAACTTGCCACCTAGATACCACACCCTTTTCCTATCGCCTGAAGCTGGGTAAATGACCACTTGTCTCTGTCACCTCAAAGCTGATAACAGATCCTCTGTTTTTCTGTTACCCTAAACTGGAAACTGTCACCCCAAAATAAGACAACTAGAGGCCCCAACTGACATGTAAAATGAGGTGTAGGCACCCCCTGGCTCTGTCACTCTGTACTAGACAATGACTTTTTTTTTAAAAAAAGATTTATTTATTTATTTGAGAGAGAGAGAGAGAGAGAGAGAGAGATGGTTGAGGGAGCCTAAGTTGGGGAAAGGGCAGAGGGAGAGAGAGAAGCTCAAAAAGACTCCCCACTGAGTGTGGAGCTGGACAAGGGCCAATCTCATGACCGTGCGATCATGACCTGAGCCAAAATCAAGAGTTGAATACTTAACCGACTGATCCCCTCAGGCGCCCCTGTACTAGACAATTAGATCCCTGTCCCTGTCACACCAAACCTGGATCCACAGGCTCTTTAATAATGAAGTCAACAACCAGGCTCCCAGTTCGTCACTCCCAACCAGCCAACTGGACTCCCAAGATCTGTCACCAAAACAGACGACTAGACTTTTGTCCCCTTGATGAGACACTGAGCCCTTGTTTTCGTTGCCCCAATCCAAACCTCACAACCCAAGGTCATTCAGGAGGGAGGCACAGGGAATGGGCCTCCAGTCTTGACCACCCCCATGGAAACTTCTGGTTTGAGGCATCTCAAAAACCCGACATCAGAATTAGGGACCTGTAGTTAATCACCCCCAGATTAGGCCTCTGGGCTGTCTCTCAACCTCCACCATCACCCCACAACCCCAGGCTGCTGACCACTTGCCTCTTGGCCTCAGTCCTGGTCCTTGGGCCCCTGGCCTTGTCACCTCCAAACAAGGCAGCCTGACCACATTCCCCAGGTTCAGCAGTGTAAATGGGACGTAGTGACCGCCCACCTTGTGGGCATGAAGACCATCTCCCTGGGGAGCACCGGCATCTCCATCAGTAGATGAAATGCCCTCTACAACCCCAGAAGTGGGATTGGGAGCAGGCCGTGTTGTAGACCCAGGGGCGTGTCTGGGCCTGGGGCTCTTAGGTTTTATTTCCCACAAGTCCGGCTGCAGACTCTCTTTCCCTGGAGATCTGCAGGAAGCACTTTTCCGCCCTCGGGTGGCAGCCACTGGAAGCACACCCCTAGTGACCGGCGCCATTGTGGGCCCCAGCGCTCAGGTACCTGGGGCTCATCCTTGCCTGCTCCCTCCCACTCAGTTCCCAAGCACATCAGTCATTAAGCTCCTTGTTCTGAATTTGTCTTCCCTGTCCCTACTCTCCACTCCATGTCCCTGCCTCATCCTCCCTGGCCCCATTCCCTTTAGCCCATCCCCATACAGAATCCCAAAGGGAGATTTCTGAAATTCACACCTGGCCCTGTCCCCACACTGTTCAACACCCTTTCATAGTCCACGTTACCTTAAGCTAAAATCCAAAGACTTTCTCAATGGCTTGCAGGTCCTGTGTGATCTGGTTCCAACATCCTCCCCACCACCATCTCCTACAGCTGTTCCCTTCACTCCCTTCACCCAGCCACAAGTGCTGCCTTGTCACTGAGCAGGTCCCACCCCAGGGCCTTTGCACTTGCTGTTCTCTCTGGCTGGAATACTCTTCCCCTGGCCTTCCAAGGAGCAATTTCCTCATCCCAGGAAGGCCCACCCTTGCCATTCTGAGTGAGCCCTCTCCTTCCACGATTCTCTAGCCTTACCCAATCCCGTTTACTGGCTTCACAAGCTTTTTACTTTCTGAGTTTTCTGCTTGCTGGGTGTTTGGTTCATGTATCACATGTGCCTCTCCCACTGAATGTGAGCCGGAAGAGGGCAGGGTCTCATCTGTTTGTGGGGCTTTTTGCCCAGTGTGCCAGCCGCCGTGTCCTGGAGACTCAGGGTACAACCCACAGATGTCACTCTATATTTTCTACTCAATCACATTTTCAAAGGTGAAGAAAAAAGTGGAAATAATAAATTTACCTGGAGGTTGCCTGGATGGCTCAGTCCACAAAGCATCCAACTCTTGATTTCGGCTCAGGTCATGATCTCAGGGTCCTGGGATTGAGTCTCGCGTCGGGCTCCCTGCTCCATGGGGAGCCTGCTTCTCCCTCTATGCTCTAATACATAATCTTTAAAAAAATGAATCTTTTAAGAATAATAATGATCTTACTTAGTACCTATTCAATGTACTACCCTTCCAACATATAACCAGTACAGAAAATTATTAGTGAGACATTACACTGTTTCCTGGTAAGTGTTTGGAATCTGGTGTTGATTTAACCCTCGAGGCACATCTCAGTTGGGGCCAACGCGTTTCAAGGGCTCTGTTGCCACAGGAGGCAGAAGGATTTCAGAGCAACACCGAGGACTCTGTGGGCACTCCATAAAGCGCCTGCTCCATGATTGGTGAGTGGGTGAGTTTTGGGGATGATCGGCAAGGCCAAGGAGGCGAAGGGACCGCGTTGCAAGGTGTTGGCACTGTGGCCCAGCTGAGGCCGCCTGCCCACTGCTCTCTCTGTGGCCTGCCTCCATGTCCCTCCGGGTTCCCTGAAATGTCATCTCCTCGGAGAGCCCGCCACCCTGCTTTGCTGTCCTATCTTGTCCAGTGTTCTCCTGGTCAGGCGCGGTCCCACACAGCAGACTCTGGACATTACGGTAAAAGGCAGGGCTCGTCCCTTCCATCTCACTCAGGGGAGAACCAAAGCCCTCACCGAAGCCTGTCCGTCCTCCACACTCCCCCGTGAGTCCTCCACAGCCGCCTGGGCCTCCTTGCAGCGCCCTCCGCCCAGAATGTTTCCCTCCTGAGGATCTGCCCCTGCTCCTTCACTCAGCTGCAGGGCCTCGGGGAGGCCTTCCTTCATCTGCACCTCAGCTCCAGAACTTTCTCTGTGCAGGACAGTTAACGCAGGGGGCCATCCTAGAGAAGGCTGCTGGCGTGGTTGAATCCTGGCTGGTGTCTGGGAACGTGGATTCCAGGAGGCGGCTCCCCGGTGTCCTCAATACAAATGACTCAGTGTCTATACTTGTTCGTGCAGATGATACTGTTTACGCTGAACACCTGCCTTCCTTTCTGGGAGTGTGGAATTTCCCTAAGTGCCAGACAAAGGGTGCTTATGGGGTCACTTCCCTGCAGAGGCCGGGCACTGAGTCTCTCCTGAGCCTCCCTGGCAGCCGCCCTCACTGCTGCTGCAGGAATGGAGCACAGGGTGTGGGATGCCCCCAGGAGGACGCTGGGAAGCTTGAACCTGGCTTTCTCTCCACTGCCTCACGGGCCTTTCCCCTTCCCTGGTTTTGCTTTGTAGCCTTTCATGATCATGAATTACAGCTGTAGGTCCAACGGTCTGTCTAGTCCTTCTAGCAATTCACTGAACTGGGGGGCAGTCTGGGGCACCCCTGGCTCACTGCCCCCCCCCCAGCACTTACCACCATTTGCCATCCAATCTTGTATTTTAAAAAGTGTTTATTTGTTTATTTATTTAAAGTAGGCCCATGGCCAGTGTGGAGCCCAACTGGGGGCTTGAACTCACAACCCTGAGATCAAGACCAGAGCTGAGATCAAGAGTTGGGCCCTTAACCAACGGAGCCATGCAGAAGCCCCATCCTCTCCTTTGTAGTCCTTCATCTTATCAAACTCCCCATCCAGAGGACCCCTCCATCTGGGTCTCTGCAGTCCCCCACACCCCTGCACAAGCCAACAGAAGACCCTGGGAGAGTATCTACTGAATGACAGCTGTAACAGTTTTATTTCCACAGCTGGAATACCCCACCCCACCCCCATTCCCACCCTCCACCCCACCCCGGGGCTTGGGATGGCAAGGAGGCCTTTGACCAGGAGCACGGGGCGGTGCGGGGCAGGGGCAGTGCGGGGCAGGGGAGAGCAGGGCGGGGGCGAGTGGGGCCAAGGCAGAGGGCTCAGGAGGCTGGAGGGTCCCCCTCACACAGGCTCCATCTGCAGCTCTTCCCCGTCCACAGCCTCGGTCTGGTGGAAGGCGGCGTGGGAGCCGATCACCACGAGGGTGGCTCCTGCAGGGAGACAGGCAGTTCAGGGTGTCACTCCTTCACCTGCTCCCCACCGCCCGCCTGCCCACCTGGGCATCCCAGAGCCTGTACTCACCCAGGACCCAGAAGACGGCAGAACCTGCGCCGGCCAGCCAGAAGAAGGGGAAGGAGACGCCCCCGGCCAGAGCATACTGATGGGCTGGGGTTACCTCTCGGCCTGGGGGTGCAGATGGCATTGGGGCAGCTGTTCCAACACTCATATCTTCTCCCCAAGAAACCCCCGATAGCCCACCAACAGTCTGGTGTTAACAAGCTCTGGGAGCCTCAGGATCGTCCTCATGCCAAGGCCCCCTAGCCTGGGTCTCACCCGTTTCTCTGACGTTCCCACTGCCCACCCGAACAGAGCACCTTCCTTACCACAACCGCCCACCCCAACCATGCTCACTGCCCTTCAGCCCCACTTCTGCTAGGAAGCTCCCCACCTCCCACTCCCCCAGACTACGGCTCTCCTGCTCCCATCCCAACTCACATACACAAGGAGTCTCAAACGGGTCACCCAAAGGCCAAGTCTGATCTGTGGATGTGTTTTTTGAGTCTGTACTCTGTTCCCCAAGAATCTGATTTGGGGCTGCTGGACTGAGCGATTTCACATAAGAATATAGAGTTCTGGCTTCTTGGGGCAGACTGGAGGATAGGGTCTCATGCTCCAGGCGCTCCCTCCATGCCCTGTGCCTGCCTGACATGCCCTCAGGTGCCAGCCCACCCGTGTCACCGACAGAACAGACAAGCCTCTGAAGGACCCTGACTTGGGTCTTCCTGCTTGACCCCAGCTCTTCCATATCGCCACTCTGAACCTTGAGCTTCCCCTGGGCAGAGACGCAGGCCCCTCTTTAATCCCAGTGGTACCGAGGGCCAGTCTGGGACCACAGGAGCCACAAACCGGTTTCCCTCTTGGAACAGTCCCAAGATCTTTCTGGCCCCGCCCCTGGCAGCTGGAAAGGACAGGGGCCCAGATCTAGGCCAGCGTAAGGTCGCCACCTGGTGTCCAATGTGGGTACCTGCAACTGATGCTTTCCGCGGAGAGGCGAGGGAGGATGGATGGATGCGAGGAAAAGGAGGTTTAAAAGGACAGGAGCCAGGTGAAGAGTTGGTTCTGGGGTATCTCTAGCTTTAAGATAACCAACTGGGGGGGGGGGGCTCTGAGACTGGGTGCGAGCACCTGGTGTGTCTGAGATTTTAAAGGATGGAATTAGGGGGAACCAGTGTAAATCTATGCTTGGGCAGACCGGGGTCTGGGGTTTAAGGCTTGTGTTCCAAGACCAGGATTTGAAGGATCAGGGAACCGTCTGGACAGGGGCTTTCTCACCAAAAAGCACAAACTTGGACTGCAACGTGCGCAGATAGAGGATGTAGCAGGCGCCAAAGAAAACTGCCAGAGCCACCAGCAGCATGGGGGACGTCACCCTGGAGAAGGGTAGGGAGGCACTGGTCAGGCGGCTAACCACCTACACCGGAGGATAGGCCAGGCAAGACCAGGTCACATCCGGTCACACTGTGTCCCGGCCAGGCTGATGGGGCAGTACGAGCCGGGCCCTTAGGTGAAAAGGTCTGGCCGAGCCGTGCCGTGGGGGCGGGGACGACCAGCGCGGGCTGGGCTCTCAGGTGGGGGCGCGGCCCGGCCCTGCCCAAGGGGTTCAGTGCGGAGCGGGCGAGGCACTCACACACAGTAGAGGATGAGGCCCAGGAACACGAACACGTAGTTGCTCTGGTAGTACTCCACGTTGCGAACGAGGCGCTGGCACAGCTCGCCCAGGTTGCGGGGCCGCGAGAAGCGCCGCTGGTCCACGAAGGAGCCCCAGGGCCGGATGGTCGCGCGGCGCCGCTCCAGCCACTCACGGCCCGCGCCAGACGGGATCAGTTTCGGCAGCAGGGTCCTGGTGTGCAGCCCCGGGTCAGCCGTAGACCGGGGTTGAGCCCGGATCCCCCAACTCCCCCACCCCCCGAGCAAGAAGGGGGCCGTGAGGGCTGGACTCTGGGGCCCTGAGGGGAAAGGGTCCAAGCTTTCTGAATGCCGGAGGAGTAGGGGGCGGAGGGTCCAGACTCCAGAGTCCTGGAATTGGAGACCAGGAGCTCAGACTCTAGAGGCTGAGGCCCGAATTCCCGGGACCCGAAGGAGGAGGGGGCGGAGGGCCAGGTCTCCCGGGTTTAGGTCGGGGTGGGGGGGCTAGAGCCGGCTTGCTCACGTGGCGCTCAGCCCTTCCGGCTCGGAATCCCTCTGTTGGTCCTTCTCGGTCGCCATGTCTGCGTCCTGAGGGGTAGAACCGCTATAACGAGCCCAGCGCCCTGCAGATCCCGGCGGCCCGGCCCGAGCCTGGCCCCACCCAGCGGAGCCGACGTGGCGACGCCGTTCTGGAGCCGCCGGGGGCGGTGGATCCGCCGCCGAGCACTGTGGGAGTTGTAGTCCCCATGGTGTTACGGAGGGTCTGGCTCGTGAAACACCTTGGGAGACGCAGTCGCGTAAAGTAACGCTAAGCCCCTCTGGGTATTGTGGGAATTGTAGTTCCAGAAGCGGGGCGGGTGGTGGTCAGGAGTCGGGGTGTCCTGGGAGATCTAAAGGCAGAAGCAGTCGTCCTGTACTCCCTCCCCTGCAGAGTACAATGGGGCTCGTGGGGAACTGTCGTCCTGACTCGGGTGCATAAAAAACACCGGGGTGGAGCCCATTAATCTGCATTCCTAACAAGTTCCTAGGTCATGCTGATGCTACTGGTCCACGGACCGCGTTTTGAATGGCGAGACTGTAGATAATTTGTGGAAATCTATTCCTTTCTGGAGGCAGAGGCTAATGACAGGGCCATGGTTGCTGGAGGGGTATCTGAGGTGGAGTGCAAAGCTCCCCCCCATACCCTTGAGCTCCCAGGGATGGAGGGGTTAGGACTAGGGACCTTGGGATACCCCCCCCCCCCCCGCCCCCCAGATAGGAAGAGGGGGTTGGGAAAGGGTTGAGAATTTATTTATTCGCTGGGGTGGGTGGGCGTGGGTAGCAGGGCAGAGGGGGAGGGAGAGAATTTCAAGCAGGCTCCAGGCCCTATGCGGAGCCCAGTATGGGGCTCCATTTCGGGACCTCAAGATCCTGACCTAAGCCAAAATCAAGAGCCAGGTGCTCAACTGACTGGGCCACTCAGGTGCCCCCAGGTTTGAGAATTTTTGAAAGAGGGATTTGTTATAACTGAAAGAACTGGGATTCTGGAGTTAGAGATGAAAATCTAGGCTGTGATGATCTCCCCGAACCTCAGTGTCATCATCAGGACCGTGGAAACCCTGATAGTACCCCACTCATGGGTTATGATGATTCGGTTAAATGGTCCATGTATAGTGCTCAGAGGGGTCTTGATACCTGATATTCTTCAATAAATGTTAGTTGATGTTGTTGCCATTACATCACAAATGCTTTGATTATATCTAGAGTTACACCTTCTAAAAAAATTATTTTAAGTAATCTGCATACCCAATGTGGGGCTCAAACTCACAACCCCAAGATCAAGAGTCCCACATTCTGCCAGCTGAGCCAGCCAGGTGCCCCTCACCTTCCTAAATGTAACAACGATGTTAGGAACTGCTGGCCCCTTGGATGTCCCAAGGCGTGGCTGGTATCTGAGCCATGGGCTTTTCTTTTCCCTGGTTCCCACAGCCATGGCTCCCTCTCAGTTCTTGACCCTGCCCCTGAGTGAGTAGTGGGTAAATGGCCAGAATTCTAACAGGGTGCACCAGAAGAGCCTCAAGAAATGGGTGTATGGGGGCGCCTGGGTGGCTCAGTGGATTAAGCCGCTGCCTTCGGCTCAGGTCATGATCTCAGGGTCCTGGGATCGAGCCCCGCATCGGGCTCTCTGCTCAGCAGGAGCCTGCTTCCTCCTCTCTCTCTGCCTGCCTCTCTGCCTGCTTGTGATTTAAAAAAAAAAAAAAAGAAGAAAGAAATGGGTGTATGGAAGTATCAGGAAGCCTGGGCTCCCTTACCTGGACTGAAGTTTCAGGGCTTGGTGGGACGGTTGAATACCCCCGTGGAATATCCAGGGTACTCTTAACCCCAGCTGTCTTCTGAGACCCATCTCCCTTCTGGTTTGGGCTATGAGGCCTGCTGGTGGGCGTTCTCATGAGGTGGGGGAGGCAGCCTCTGCCATAGGGGCTGGTACAGCAGTAGGCAGGGAGGGCCCCTGTGTGGGAAGGTCCCAAGCCAAAGCTGAATGTTTAAAGATCAGATTGGCTCGGTCCTGTTTATTTCCCCTTTGTCACCCCCAGGCCTTTAGTGGAATCTTGTTCAGGCTTCCCATGTGGGTCTAGCTAGTTTCTGGAAATCAAAGGAGGACTGTGAGTGCACAATTAGCCCAGAGCATTAATGGGGGAGCAGCACCTGAGTTCAAAGAGATGGGGGCAGCAGAGGTGAGAAGAGCCCCCAAGAGGGAGATGAATCTTGGGGAACGGAGAGTGGGAGGCCTCCTCCTACAGCCAACCTTGGGGAATTTGGGTTTGCTTTTGTTAGGAGAGCCGGTTGGGTTTCTTTATAGGAGGTGCTGAGCAGTATGGGCTTTGGACAGTGGTGTCCAGAGCAAGGATATTGTGGGGAGCAGCCCTCTGAGTGGGGTGTGGGGAGCTCTGAATCAGGGGATCTCAGGAGATGGGGCCTCGGCATAGGGACAATGTGGGAGAGGAGCCCCTTGAAACTGGGATTGTGGGAGAGATGGGAGGGTCCTTGAGGCAGGGGATGGTAGGAGATGGCAGGGAGAGGGGGCCTAAGGCAGGTGGGCCCTGAATTAGGGGGATGGTGGGAGATAGGGGGGCCCCTGAAAAGTCTGTGGGAGATGGGCTCTGACCCTCCAGTCTGAGGCCTCCTTCCTGCCTCTTGGATCCCTGGAGGAAGTGGAGCTGGGAACGTAGGAGGACCTCAGCACAGACAATCAGAAACCTGGCTTGTGTTTCTGCTGTGTGACTTCAGGGAAGTCCCTGCCCTCTCTGGACCTTGGCTGTCTATGGGAGTACAGGTTGCCCCCAGTATCCCAAACGGAGTGTTCCTAGGAAAACTGCCATAAGCCAAAATGGGGTAAAGCAAAGAGTAGCCCCACTTTCCAGAAGTTCATGCCACTTCGCTTTGATAAAAGACCTACATTAGCACCCGTTTTCGCTGAATGAAAGAAATCCCAAGAGGATTTTCACTTTTCCGAAAAAGGCCATAAGGCCATTGGGCACTAATGTAGGTCAATGTAATTGTCGGGTACGGTGGGCGTGTGCACACACTCACACTCACGTCTTGGGGTCGGTCAGAAAGTCGGCCTGGAGCCAAGAGCTGCCGCAGCCCAGCCAGGAGGGCTGGAAGTCAAGCGCCGGACAACAGCCGGTGGGAATGCGGGATGACCCGAGAGCTCTGGGAAGGGTGTGGCCGGCTTTTATTAAAGCGAAACACAGCCTGTGCCACCCGCAGCCATCCCTCTCCTAAGCATGAGCCCAACAGAGACGCATACACGAGTCGTCGGAGGACACTGTTAGAAAGGTCCTAAAGCAACCGATACGTGGGACAATGTGGGTGACTCTCACAGGGGTGCCGAGGACAAGAAGCCGGACACACGCGACCACGTGCTTGTAGGATTTCATTTACACGAAGTCCCAGAACAGGTGCAACTAAAGGATGACGACAGAAATCAGAGCAGCCTCTGGTGGGGGAGGGGCGCGGGCGAGAAAGGGGCATGAAGGAACTTTCTGGGTGGGTGGAAATGTTCGGTACTTTGATCTGGGTGGTGGTTATGTACTGTAGGTTTTTTTTTTTTTAAGATTTTATTTATTTATTTGACAGAGAGAGATCACAAGTAGGCAGAGAGGCAGGCAGAGAGAGAGGGGGGAAGCAGGCTCCCCGCTGAGCAGAGAGCCCGATGCGGGGCTCGATCCCAGGACCCTGGGATCAGGACCTGAGCCGAAGGCAGAGGCTTTAACCCACTTAGCCACCCAGGCGCGCCCCGCTTTTTTTTAAAGTAGGCTAGAGCTCGAACTCATGACCCCAAGATCAAGACCTGAGCTGAGCTCAAAAGTCTGATGCTTGACCAACTGTGCCACCCAGGTGCCCCACAATGTCATCTTAAAAATCATTGAGCTGTGCCTTGTGCCTTTAAGATTTTGCACTTCACTGAAAGTTTACCTCAAAAAAAAAAAAAAAAAAAAAAAGAGCGAGAGAAGAACACAGCACTTAAAGGTTGGACAACTCAGGGCACTCAGTGAATCACCATCATCACCACTGTCATCTTTGTCACCAGCATTGTCCCCCTCCCTTCCCCTTAGAGTTTGACTCTCTTCCTCTGCCCTGTTCTGATCCCATAATCCCACTGCCCAGTGATTTGAAGCTGCTCTCGCTGTAACCTCAGTTGGGTCTAAACCCCAATGACTTGGTGACTCCGTGATTCTGTGGCTCCTGGGGTTGTGTGGGTCACCGGCCATGGATGCCAGCGCCGGGGAAGCCACCCGCCCCCACCCTCAGGGTCAGAAACCAAGCACAACGCACACACGCTTCTTTCTCCCCACTGATATATTTGATAATTGTCCAGAACCAGAGATGGCGTCAGCCGGGGGTGAGGGGGAGTAAAAAAGAGCCCAGGGAGGGGGCGCAGAGGGGACGGGGAGGAATAGGAGAGGGAGAGGAACAGTGACACAGAAAAGAGAGGGGGGAGAGGGGGGCCGGGAGGGGTTGGAGAGAGAAGCCAGCCAGAGGGGGGTCGGTGGGGAGGCAGGAGATAAATTGAGGGGGTAGGGGCCAAGGTGGGGCCATGGGGAGAGAGGGCCCCTCCCCCAGAATACAAAATGGGGGGACTGGTGGGGGCTGTCCTGGGCTTGGGGGGCAGGGAAGAGATGGGGGATGTGTGGGGGGTGAGGTCAGTAGTAGGTTTCCTTCTCCACCCAACCTGGAGACAAAGAGAGAGAAAGAGAAAGAGACATGGAGAAGGGCGCAGGACAGAGACCAAGAGGAGGGGGACCGTAGAGCCAGGAAGAGAGGAGGAGGGACTTGGGGGAGACAGAGAGGTTGGCACAGCACTCTGCCCCCCGCCCCCCAACTGCACCCCTGCCCCCCCAGCCTCGCCCCACAGCCGGGGAGCCCCCTCACCCCCGGGGTTCCTGCGCAGGATAAGTTTGCGGATCTCGTCGTAGACGAAGATGAGGAAACTGTAGGGGAAGGCACAGAACCACCAGCTGGGCCTGCAGAGACAGGAGAGCAGGGGGTTGTGGGTGAGGGGCCATTCTGGGGGACACAGAGGCCAAGTCTGGAGAACAGGAAGGCCGCCCTGGGGGATGGGAATTCTCCCTCGCCCTCTGGCTAAGGCTGCGGACTGGGGCCTGCAGGGGCCCCCCTGCGAGGACGTCCATAGGGGAGGGCTCTGGGGCATCAGAACAAAGACTCGGGGGCACCGGGCCAGCTCAGTTGGTGGGGCGGGTGGCTCTCCAACTCAGGGTTGTGTTTGAGCCCCACATTGTCTGCAGAGATGACTTAAAGATAATAAAATCTTAGAGAAAAAAAAAGAAGAACAGGGACTGTGATGGTGGATGGTCCAAGGAGATAGTAGGAGAGGTGAGGCTTGAGATCCGCGTGGGGCCAGGGAGGATGTCCCATGGGGAAGGCTCCTTGGAAGCTCCCGGAGTGGGAGGCAGGAAGCAGGATGCAGGAGGGTGAGGGGCACTCACTTGAGTGGGTACATGCGGAGGGCCACGTCCATGCCAGGGCAGTAGGACAAGAAGGCAGCAAGCGCCGTCTCCTCGAACAGCCCAAAGATCAGGATCTTGTTCCTGGAGGCACAGGCGGGGCTGGTTCAGAGGACCTGAGCCAGCCCGCAGCCCCCCAGAGCCAGGCACAGCCTGAGGTGGACAGAGACAGACAGCCCCGGAGTCACATAGACAGAGGGACGAACAGGAGACAGAGAATTGGCAACAGAAGGAGAAAGGCAGACGGACAGAGACAGCAACACACAGACAGGCGTGGGAAGGGGACCCCAATAGTGACACCCCTGCCCCCCCAACACACACACACACACACACACACGGAAAGACACACAGAAGGAATCCACGATAGATGGGACCACTCAGAGGAAATCACTCAGGGGCAAAGACGGACGTGTGGCACACGTGGGGAGGGACAGATAGATGCATGGATGGTACAAACAGAGCCTCGTGCCGCCAGCCCTCACTTCATGCCCTGCTGGAAGACGGAGTTTCTTCGGGTCTTGCAGATGATCAAGTCGGCCCACTGAACGACCACGATGCTCACGAAGAAGGCCGTGTGGCATGTGAACTCCACCACCTTCCTCTGCTCATATGTCTGCAGCAGCGATGACAAGCATGCAGGGTGGTCGTCAGCACCGCCACAGCCAGGCCCCAGCCCGAGACCCATGTGCCCCGAGTCTGCACCCCCTGCACCAGCCCTGGGGTGGGGGGCAGGGGCTCTGTCCCGATGGGGTCTCCCCTCTGTGGCAGGTGGGGGAGAGCGAGACCAGAGGTGGCGGGCACCTCGGTAGGCTGGGCTGAGAGTGCCAGGAGGCCTGAGCCCTGGGCAGCAGGACCATCCTAGGAGGCAGCCCCAACCCGTGGCTGGGACAGCGTACGGGGGCTCCTGCCTGCTGCAGGCAGGGGCGCTGACCGGGAGCCCCCTCACCAATGCCGCGGGGCCGCCCACTTACCCACTGCTGTCCATAGCTGTCCTCCAGGTCATTGACGGTGCGGTCGTCCCAGTTCAGCCGGATGCCCACCAGGTTGCTGGGCAAGAAGCCATTTTCTGCCAGAATCACAAAGTAGGAAAAGAAGCCACCAAGAGCCTGGATCATTCCTGGAGGTGGGGAGGAGATGAGGAGAAGTTCAGGTCGGGGCCAGCCCAGGGCACCTCCGAGTGAGACTCCACAGTGGGGAGGGGGGGCAGCTACCCCAGAACGCATGCCCAGCTCCCAGCTGGCAACCCGACAGCGCCACCTGGTGGCGGGCGCCTGCCATGGCCACCTGGGAAGTGGACTGCCATGGCCATCAGGGAAGGGACTCACCGGAAGGCTCTCTCCCACCAGAGTCAGGCCCCCTAATAAACATCAGGGAGTCCCTGAGAACCCCCCGGGGTTTCAGTCTGACAGGCTCCCCGATGCAGGAATGATCTCCCCGGGCCTCTGACCACCACCATGAAGCCTCTGCCTTCTGGGATATTCCCAGCAACGGGGAGCTCAGCAGCTCCAAGGCTCTACACATGCACTTCCAGCAGCAGGGTGAGGAGGGAAGGGATGGGGCTCACTCCTGCCCTCAGAGCGCTCATGGTCAGATCTTGTCTTCCCTACCACGGAGGAGGGTGGAGCAGTGGGTTCTGAGGTGGCCAGCCTGGGGCCAATCCTGATCTGCCCCTTGGTGTCCCATTTGCCCCCCCCAGATGCACCCCCCCAGGCCTGTCCTCTGCCTGTACTGGTCCCACCTTGGGGAGCACCACCCATCTGCCAGTCACTCCCAAACCTCCAGCAACAAATCCTTTCACCCCACTCATCCAACAGAAGGTTCCAGAGTGCCCACTGTGGGCCAGGCACTGGGCATCCAGCCATGAACCAGGTGGGGTCGCCAAGTCCTCACCAATCTGCCCATAGGCCATACTGATGAGCCTTTCATTGACCAGTTTGTCAGTGCGGGGGTTCCTGGGCTGTCTCTTCATGATGTCACTCTCTGCAGCTTCGTATGCCAATGAGATGGCAGGGACCTGGGCAGGAGAGGCTGTGTGAGTTGGGAGTGGGGGACCCTCCCCTCATGGGGCCCAGAGGGTGGCTGGGACTCACCATGTCAGTGCCCAGGTCGATGCAGAGGATGGTGATGGTGCCCAGAGGCAGGGGGATGTTGGCCATGATGAACAGCAAGAAGGGCGTGATCTCAGGGATGTTGCTGGTCAGTGTGTAGGCGATGGACTTCTTTAGGTTGTCAAAGATCAGGCGGCCTGTGGCAGGGGCAGGCTCAGATCCCGGGCACCCTGGACCCCGCTCCTTCCAATCCACCCTCCCACCTGCCCACCTTCCTGCACAATCACCCACCGCAGTGCCCTGAGAAATAGCCTGAGAAATAGCCACTTGGGAAGGCTGTTGGGCGGCTTGTATTAAAATTAACACCCCCTCCCCCACTCAACTGACCTGGAAATACTACTCCTAGGTTTAAAGGAGTGTTTATGCCCACCAAAAAACAAGTACGAGAAGGTTCACCATAGCATTAGTCCCCATCACCAAAACCCAGAACCGACCCCAGTGGCCATCAGCATGGGAGTGGATGAATGAACGGCCTACTGTCCCTCCCTACAACAGAATACTGCCCAGCAAGGAAAAGGAACAAGCTACTGAAACACCCAAATCCACGGAGGAATTTCATAGATGTTACCTTGAGTGAAAAAAGCCAGACACAAAAGTGCTCATATCCCACAACTCCATTTAGAGGAGGTTCAAGACTATTGCACGGGGCTCAAAGTCAAGGTACAGCCTATTTCTGGACAGGGAGCTATGCGCCGGAGGGAATATGATGGAGCTGGAAATGTTCTTTATCTTGGTCGGGGTCTAGTGGTTGCCTGGGTGTGTATATGTGTAAAAATTCAGCAAACTGCCCAGCTTACTGGACGCATGTCCTCTCTCGATACAAACTCAATCAGTCCAGTGTGTATAAAGTAAAAAGAAGCTGGGGCGGCTGGGTGGCTCAGCGGGTTAAGCATCTGCCTTCAGCTCAGGTCACGATCCCGGAGTCCACGGATCGAGTCCCGTCTTGGGAATCCCTGCTCAGTGGGGAGCCTGCTTCTCCCTCTGCCCCTCCCCCCCAATAAATAAAGAAAATATTTAAAATTAAAAAAGTAAATAAAAGGTAAAGACTACCGCAGCCAGCACCTCCTCCTATCCTCCAGGGTGCCCTGCGAGGCATGAGTAACAAGGTACGTCATTCACATGGAAAAAGAAAGGCAGGCTGCCCAGTGGTGAATGGTCGGTCGGATCACCTCTGTGTAAAACTAAGACCCGCTCTTTCCTGTTCTGCCGTGCTGCTCGGCCTTCCACAAACTGCTGGTATTGATGGAGGCAATGAGGACTGAAATGTGCTTCAACGTAATCCAGTGTGTGTGCTGGGACGAGAGGGATCGTGAGTGGTGAGGGAGCTGGGGGATGGGAACATGGGGGTTCCCTATGCTCTTTGCTCTGCGGTATACCTGAATTTCTCCTACTGGAAGTTAAACTTTGTGGGTTTCTTTGTGTTTCCCACCTCCGAGAGGCCTGCCTTGCCCGCCTGATGTGGCTGTTACCTGCCATGGCTGTTACCTGCCCTGGCGTCCCACTTGTGAGTTTCTCGGCACTTGCTGCAATTTACAACTAAGTGTGTTACCTTGCGATCCGTTTGTTAATTTGTCTAAAGCTGCCCCTCCCGGCTCCTGGAGGGGAGGGACCGTGTCTGCTCTGCTCACAGCTGTCTGTCCCGCACCAGGCAGGAGGCACAAGGTGAGAGCCCAGTATAAGTGTAGAAGGTGTGACCGGTGTTCCTACAAGGTCGTGCCCCGCATACACACAGACCTCTTGGGGAAGAAAAAAGGGTTCCCCACGGTGTCTTCTGGGACCAGGAGGCAAGGGATAAGGTCATCTCATTTGTCACTTTAGGCTCAGCTTTACTGCTGGCATTCTCTTTTATCATGCATTCTTTTTTTACCCTGGGGACACTGCCAAAGGGAGAGAGGAGCGGGAGGAGAATGCGCAGAGCAGGAGTAGTGATTATTTCTGGATGGTGAGGTTAGGGGTGATTCCAATTTTCTTCCTAATGCTTGTCTACATTTCCTATAATTATCGGGAACTGCTTTGATGATCAGAATAAAATTAAATGTGAACCAGCTCTATCTGGGGCCTCATTAAAGCCTGTCAGGAGGCGGCGGCGGTGTCCATGGGCTCTGCAGCCTGGGTTCGGTGTCCCAAGCCCCAGACGCCAGGCCCGGCCCCACACACGGGCAACCTCCCAGCGCCTTGCCTGTGTGCGCTCTGTCCCTCTGCCAACAGCTCCCTCCCCAGGCACTACTCTCCTTGAATGTTCCAGCTTGGCTCCTGGGACTCTGTACACTTATTCCTGTCTACTCTAGAAGCTTCCTCGCCCCCTGACCCCAGGCTGGGCGAGGGGCCTCCATGAGGCTCCCGACGGACCCTCGGCTTCCCTGTGGTTGCACTTACAGGTTTTAAAAATGCTTCTGCATCTGCCTTGCTCCCCAGACTGGGCCCCAGAAATGCGTCAGCTCAGCCCTGTCCCCAGGGAGCCCCCACCCCCACTGCGGGGAAGAAGGATGGAAAAGACTAGTTTCAGGCTCCACAGGGGGCTCGGAAGGGTTCTGGTGTCCCCCCACTATGCATCCCGCCACAGCCCTGGCCGGTTCCTCTTGCCCCTCTCAGGGCCTCCTGCGGGAACCCCAGTCTCCAGGACCTCCCCGGCCAACTCACCCTCCTCCACGCCCGTGACGATGGAGGCAAAGTTGTCGTCCAGCAGAATCATGTCCGCTGCCTGCTTAGACACATCCGAGCCGGCGATGCCCATGGCCACGCCAATGTCGGCCTTCTTCAGGGCGGGGGAGTCATTCACACCATCCCCAGTCACAGCCACAATGGCTCCCTGGAGGGAGAGGGGGTGAGGGTGACCCCCAGAGGCCTGGCTCCAGCCCCCTCATCCGGGTCGCAACCCCCTCCTCCGAGGAGGCCTCAGGCCAAGCCCACCTGTCTCTGACAGCCTTCCACGATAATGAGCTTCTGCTGGGGGGACGTGCGGGCGAAGACGATCTCGGTGTGGTTCTGCAGGATCTCATCGATCTGCTCGGAGGTGAAGTCCTTGAGGTCGGTGCCGTGGATCACACAGGCCTTGGCGTCCCTGGAAAGAGCAGAGGGCCAGTCAGGACACGTGGGGAAGCATGGGAAGACAGCCAGGCTGGCCGAGCCCATAGACAGGAGAGGTGGGAGGACTGGGCTCTGAAACCAAGGCTCAGGAAGTGTAAGTGACTTGCCCAGGGTCACAGGGCTGTGAACAGTGAAGCTCGGAGGCAGCCTTGCCCTCGCACGTGGAGGGGACGTGGGACCAGGTGCTGAGAGCCAGAAGGAAGGGGGGGAGGGGGTGGGCCTCACCGGGGGTTGACCTGGCTGACTGGAATGTTGAGCCGGGCAGCGATGTCCTCCACTGTCTCATTGCCCTCGGAGATGATGCCCACGCCCTTGGCGATGGCCTTGGCCGTGATGGGGTGATCACCCGTGACCATGATGACCTGTGGGCATTGGGCAGGGATGATCCAGTCTCACAGCTGGTAGCCCCCGGAGAGCCCCGGCCCCACCCACCCCCCAGCTGCCCCAGGCCACACCTTGATGCCAGCGCTGCGACACTTGCCCACCGCATCAGGGACGGCCGCCCGGGGCGGGTCGATCATGGACATGAGGCCAACGAAGCAGAGGTTGTCTGTGGTAAAGTTCACGTCGTCGCAGTCGAAGGCGAAGCCCTTGGGGAACTGCTCCTCGGGCAGGTAGTAATGGCAGAAACCTGATGGCAGGATGGGGTGAGGGCATGAGGGCTCCCTAGGATCCGCTAGGATCCCTGCAGTCAGGGCAGCCCCAGCTGGTGGGGACTGTCAACATTCACCCCCTAAAGATGCCTTCTCTCATTCATACACACACTCCCTCGTTCATCCATTCATTCATTCACGGCGCATTCTGGGAGGCCCTATTCTGAGCCAGATTCTGGGCAGCCTCATACCCCTCCCCATACCCTCAAGGAACCCCCCCCACCCCGCAAGCTGGCCGAGCCCCTGCCCCAGGTCAGCCCCTCCCGAGGTGCGCACCCAGCACACGCTCGCCCAGGCCGCCGAGCTCGAGGTAGGCGTTCTGGAAGGCCTCCTTCATCTCCTCGTCCAGCGGCTGCTCCTTGCCCTGCAGCAGGATGGTGGAGCACCGGTCCAGGATCCGCTCGGGAGCTCCCTTCATCACCAGCAGGTAGCGGTTGTCATTGGGGTCCTCAGTCTCATGGATGGAGAGCTGTGGAGAGGCCGGAGGGCGGGCTTGCCTGAGCCTTGGCGGGACCCAGCGGGGGGAGAGGACGGCCCCCACCCTCCGCCCAGAGCCATGGGGGCCAGGACAGGAGCGGGGGCTCCCCCAGAATGCAAAACTCTCTGCCCCAAACTCTCTACCCAAGAGATCTCCATCTGGTTCTTGGAGTTTCTCCCAGAGATCGCGGCTCATCCCTGCCCATTTCTGTCTGTCTCACAGATGTTTCAGCCCGTGGGGCTCGCTCGCAGAAATCTCGGCCATCCTTAGAATACGTCTCTCTCTCCCTGTCTCGCCCAGCTTCCTCTCGTCTCACATCTGACCCACCACCAAATCTGCCCAGCTCCCCTCTCCAATACACTCAGCTTCTGACCTTGCCTCACCTCCCCCGGCCCTCCCTGGCCGGCCACCCGCTACCATGCCGAGGCTCCGTGTTGCCCTCCACAGCCCATAGTACTTCCTCCCCCAGCAGCCAGGAGGAGCCTTTAAGAAAGGTGAGTCAGTGGGACACGGGGCAGCCATTTTGGCAAACAGTGTGGCAGCCCCCAAAAGGCTCCAGGAAGAGTCACTCTGTGAGCCAGCCGTTCCCAAGCACACACCTGAGAGACAGCCAAAGTTTGGCCACAAGGAAACGTGTGTGGGAAGTTTCCAGTGGCATCACACACGGTAGTGCATAGGGGCAAAGCGTCCATCGGCAGATAAAGGGACCAACGAATGGGCCTGTGTGGGCAACGCCACACTGCCCAGCCACGGAGAGGTCTGGGGGACCGCCACACACCACGGTGAGAGTGACCCTTGAGAACATCACACGAAATGGAAGACACCAGCTACGAAACCCCACGTGTCTCAGGGTTCCGTTTATACGAAATGTCCAGAATAGACCAATGCAGAGAGACAGAAAGTAGAGGAGTGGTTGCTGAGGGATCAGAGAGATGGGGAAGGAGGGGGACAAGCGCTAAGGAGTGCGAGGCTTCTTTTTGATGTGATGGAAAGTTCCATAATTGTGAAGCTGACTGCACGTATCTGTGAACAACCCAAAATGCTGAGTTATGTACTTCATGTGGGTGATCTAGGATAGATGAATGATATCTCAGTGAAACTCTTTTTAAAAACGTGAGTCAAGGGGTGCCTGGGTGGCTCAGTAGGTTAAAGCCTCTGCCTTTGGCTCAGGTCATGATCTCAGGGTCCTTGGATCGAGCCCCGCATCGGGATCTCTGCTCAGTGGGGAGCCTGCTCCCCCCCACCTCTCCCTGCCTCTTGGCCTACTTGTGATCTCTGTCAAATAAATAAACAAAATCTTAAAAAATAATAAAAATAATAAAAAATAAAAATGTGAGTCAGGCCCCACTGCTCCTCTGCACAGAGCCCTCCCGTGGCTTACGTCCCTCTTAAGAGTCACACCTGAGGGGCGCCTGGGTGGCTCAGTGGGTTAATGCCTCTGCCTTTGGCTCAGGTCATGATCCCAGGGTCCTGGGATCAAGCCCCACATCGGGCTCTCTGCTCAGCAGGGAGCCTGCTTCCCCCTCTCTCTCTGCCTGCCTCTCTGCCTGCTTGTGATCTCTGTCAAATAAATTAATAAAAAATTTTAAAAAATAAAATAAAATCATTAAAAAAAAAAAAAGTCATACCTGATTCCTCTCCCCGGCCCATGAGCCCGATGGGTCCTGCCCAGGTACCTACTGCCCTTGCCTCCAGCACACTCCCTGGCTTCCTGCTCCACCATAATGGCTGTCTGGCTATCATTCAGACATCAATATACTCCTGCCTCAGGACCTTTGCACAGGCTGTGCCCCCTGTCTAGAACACTCTTGCCCCAGACACCCACAGCCAGCATATTCTGATATTCTGTATTTCCTCATGCTTTCGTCATTGTCTGTCTTCTAGCACTAGAGGGAGGGACTCCACTGTATCACTCACTGCCACAGGTGTCACAGGTGTCCCAGCACCTAAAACGTGTTCCTGACATGAGCTGATGGCTCAACCAAAGATTGCAGAATGAATGAGAACTCTCTGGTGGGCCCCCTCTTCACTATAGAAAGATCTCCATTCCTCAGCTCCCACTCTGACAGAGACCTTGCTCTCACTCCTGGGTCACCCTGTTCCTCACCTAACCAGGTGGATGCTGTCATTCCCATTTCACAGATGGTAAAACCAAGGCTCTGGAAGGTTAGTAACTTGTCCAAAGCAAGGGGGCAGTGGGGCAGAGGTGACCGCATACAGGCACGATCGAGACCCGGAGGTCCAGGCTGGCTCTCAGGCCAGACAACCCAGAGTACCTGGTATTTGTTGGTGGAATTGAAGGGAATCTCGGCCACTTTCTTGTTACGTTCACGCATCAGCTTCACAGAGCCAGAGGACAGCTCGATGCACTTGAGCAGGGCAGACTCGGAAGCATCGCCAGCCACATCCCTCTGTGGGGACAGAGGGCCATCAGAGCAGAGCAGCGGCAGCGGCCATGGCCACGGGCAGGACCAAGGCAAGGGGGCAGCTGGACCCACCTTGAGCACAGGGATGTTGTCCTGACCTCCCTTGAAGACGGCTCGATTGCAGAGTCCAGCGATGTGGGACAGGGCCACCCAGGTGTGTGAGCTCTTGTCGAATGAGGTGCCTGAAGGAGGCACGTGTCCCCTGTCACAGCGCCTTGGGGCTAGACCCCCATGGTCCCCACCAGGGCCCTAGCCTCACCTGACTGGTCCTCTGTGGTGTCGGCCTCATGGATCTGGTTGTCAAACCACATGTGGGCGACCGTCATGCGGTTCTGGGTGAGGGTCCCTGTCTTGTCCGAGCAGATGGTGGAGGTGGAGCCCAGGGTCTCAACAGCCTCCAGGTTTTTCACCAGGCAGTTCTTCCGGGCCATGCGTTTGGCTGTCAGCGTCAGACACACCTAGGGGGCGGGCCGGTCACAATCACAGTCATGGGGGTAGCCAGGCAGCAGGCTCGCACCAGCACCGCAAGCACCCACGACCTGCCCTGACATCAAACAGCAACAGGACAGACAGACATTCGGAAGCCTGGTGCTGTCCGGCAGTTCCACCCGGAGGCACAGACCAACAATCACAGGCTTGGACATGCGCCCCCAAAGCCAGCCGCTGCTCTGTGCACAGCAGCAGCCTTGAGAACCATCCCGAATGAGAAAAAACCCAAACATCTACGAATGACAGCAGGGGTGAATAAACCACGGGATACAAAATACGGAATAATACAGAGCCACGAGAAAGCAGGTCCCCACAGCCTGCAGCTGTGAGGATGAGGTTCAAGACCATCGTGCCTGGCACAAAACTGAGCCCAAAATGGGGGTCCGGACTCAATTATTCTATTGCTGTCAGTACATTAATGCTGCTGGAAGCCTGGGGAGCGGTTACCTGTGGGTTGGGGGGAAGAAGCTAGACAAGGTCTCAAGGGGGCTCTTGGGGAGCTCAGTCTGCGTGCCGCCCACCTGCCCGCGCCCAGACTCACAGCGGGGCGTCCGTATATGTGACCCCACGTTGGTAAAGAGCCCCTGACCTACACTGGCTTTGAACATGCTAATGGGGAAAACGCCTCAGGATATAGTCAGTGAAAAAAATCAAGCAGGTGGGACACCTGCGTGGCTCAGTCATTAAGCGTCGGCCTTCAGCTCGGGTCATGATCTCGGGGTCCTGGGATCAAGTCCCACGTTGGGCTCCCTGCTCAGTAGGGAACCTGCCTCTCACTCTGCCCTCCCACCTGCTTGTGTGCATTCTCTCTCTCTGTCTCTCTCAAATAAATAAAATCTTTAAAAAAAAAAAAGAATCAAGCAGACGAAGAGAATTCCTGGGACGGTCCAGTCTATGTGCCATCAGCACTGCCCCACTGGCTGGAAGGGAGCTGTGTAGACAATGCACTTCTATGGTGGGGCTAACCACTGGGCGGCAGGGCGGGTGGGGGCATTTTTTTATTTATTTTTTAACTATTTTAATATATTCTTTGGACCTTTTATCATGAGAGTGGACTTCCTTTTTTTTTTTTAAGATTTTATTTTTAAGTAATCTCTGCACCCAACATGGGGCTCAAACTCACAACCCCGAGATTGAGAGTCATGTGCTCTCCTAACTGAGATAGCCGGGAGCCCCACGGGGGTAGACTTCTTAATCATGTAACTTAACTTAGAAAGTGATAAGACTGAGGGGGTGCCCGGGTGGCTCAATCGGTTGAGCGTCTGACTCTTGGTTTTGGCTCAGGTCATGATCTCACGGTTGTGGGATCAAGCCCTGTGTCGGGTTCTGCGCTGAGCCTGGAGTCTGCTTGGGATCTGCCCCGTCCCCCTCTTGCTTCCTCCCTCCCTCCCTCTCTTTCTCAAAAAAGAAAAAAGAAAAAGAAAAAAGAATGTGACAGGCTGTTGGCCCTTTGTGCCTCGCAGTGTGCCCCGAGATTTCCATCTGCTTCATTAAGGCCTCCGGAGTCCCCAGACCCCATCATTCAAGACCTAGGAGGCTCAGCCCTCGTGGCACAAGGCATCCTGCTTAGGAATGTGGCAGTCAGGCCCCCCTGCCCCCTCCTCCCTCAAACGCGGGGGTCCGGGCCTTACAGTGACGGTGGCCAGCAGGCCCTCGGGGACATTGGCCACGATGATGCCAATGAGGAAGATGACAGCCTCCAGCCAGGTGTACCCGAGAATGAGGGACAGGATGAAGAAGGACACGCCCAGGAAGACAGCCACGCCGGTGATCAGCTGGATGAAATGCTCGATCTCGATGGCAATGGGCGTCTTGCCCACCTCCAGGCCTGAAGCCAGTGTGGCAATGCGGCCCATGACAGTGCGGTCACCTGTGGCCACCACCACGCCACGAGCCGTGCCTGTGGGTCCAGAGGGGAGCAGGCTGAGCTGGGGGTGGGGTCAGGGTGAGGTTCAGAGGGACCCCGAGTCCCAGACACACAGCCCTCCGTCTGACCAGCCTCCCCCCAACCTGGGGGTCCCCTGCCGCACCTTCCACGCAGTTGGTAGAGAAGAAGGTGATGTTCCGGGTCTCCAAGGGGTTGTCATGGGTGCAGTCAGGAGAGCGGGTCTGTGGTTCTGATTCGCCGGTCAGGGAGGAGTTGTCCACCTGAGGGTGGGTGAAAGGAGAGAGGGCTCAGCCCTGGGGTCAGGGGGCACTTGTCCAGAGGACACCGGGGCCAAGGTTGTACCCTTGGAGGTCGTAACTAGAAGCCTGGATGCCTGGGTGAATGAGTGGTGTCTGGGGACTAGAGGTTGGTATCCTGAAGGTGGGAAGCAGAGGCTGCCTGCCAAGGTCTAAGGTATTGATCGGTCCAGGGGGTAGGGACAAGGGGCCTGGACTCCTGGGTCCCGGGGAAGGAAGGGGTGGGGGCCTGGCCCATGGGTTTGAGGAAGGAGGGGGTTGGGGGCCTGGACTCTTGGGTCTGAGGAAGGAGAAGGCTGAGGGCGGGACTCTTAGCTTTGAGGGCTGGGAGGCTAAGGGTCTAGACTCCTGAGCCTGACAGAGGAGGGGCTGGGGGCCTGGACTCAGGTCTGAGGGAGGAGGGGCTGGGGGCTTGGACTCCTGGGTCTGAGGGAATAGGGACTGGGGGCCTGGAACCCTGGGTCTGAGAGAGGAGGGTCTAGGGACCTGGACTCCTGGGCCTGAGGGAGGAGGGCCTGGGGTCCTGGATGCCAGGGTCTGAGGTAGGAGGGGCTGGGGGCCTGGACTCCTGGGTCTGAGAGAGGAGGGACTGGGGTCCTGGAACCCTGGTCTGAGGGAGGAGGGGCTGGGGGCCTGGACTCCTGGTTCTGAGGGAGGAGGGGGCTGGGGGCCTGGACTCCTGAGTCTGAAGGAGGAGGGCCTGGGGGCGTGGAGCCCTGGGTCTGAGGGAGGAAGGGCTGGGGCCTAGAACCCTGGGTCTGAGGGAGGAGGATCTGGGGGCCTGGATCCCAGAGCCACTTCAGGAAGGACAGAGTTGTGTCCCAGGTCCTGGTCCGACCTTGCAACCATGGGCTGAGATGATCCGTAGGTCGGCTGGGACTCGGTCTCCACCCTTGATCTCCACCAGGTCCCCGACCACCACCTCCTCGGCGTTCACCTGCATCTTCTCACCCTCGCGGATCACCAGGGCTTGCTGGGGGCCCAACGGAGAAGAGTCAGCACCCTGCTCTCCACCCGGGCTTGGATGGTACACCTCACCACCACCTTCCTACCTCCTGCTCCCACCCGCCCCCTTTCGAGCCCCCCTCACCTGGGGCACCATGTTCTTGAAGGACTCCATGATCTTGGAGCTCTTGGCCTCCTGGTAGTAGGAGAAGCAGCCCGTGATGATGACCACAGCAGCCAGCACGATGCCCAGGTACAGCTGTGGGGGAAACAGGGGCACACCTCAGAGCTGCTCCCTCCCAGGTGTGGGATCCAGGAAGGGTACCCCGAGTCAACAGGGGAGAGGGGGCTCCGTATTTGTGTGCCTGACCCCAGGTTGTGTCTACTCGAGGGTCCGTGTGTCCATCTGCCTGTTAGGGCCTCTCTTTCTGCACGTGGGTGTGTGTGTCTCTAGGTCAGTCAGTCTCTCGATTTTGTGTGTCCCTCCATCTTTCTGCCTGTGTTTGAGAAGCTGAGCCTACGTTATTATCCGTGCACATGTTTGTCCTGTGCTCAGGTCAATGTGTCTGTCTCTCTGCTGGGCTGCGTGCCTGGCTTTAAACTGATGGGACTGTTTGTGTGTAGGTCTCTGTGCGTGGATCTCTGTCTCTCTGTCTCTCTCTGCCTGGGTCTGAGACTCCGTGTCTGTCTATCTGCCTGTGTGCGTTTTAAATTTCCTTTTAAGTTTTGTTTATTTTCTTATTTATTTTGGGGGTAATCTCTACACCCAATGTAGGGCTCGAACTCAGGACTCCGAGGTCAAGTGTCACACGCTCCTCTGACTGGGCCAGCCAGGCGCCCTGGGTTCCAAAGTCTAGGAATACAATCTGTCTCTGCCTGAGGCACAGGTCAGTCTATCTGTCCCCAGGCTGGGCCTGCAGCTCTGTGTAGGTCTGAGTTCCTGTGTCTGTCCGTCTGCGTCGGTGTCCCTGCCTGTGTGTCTGAACTAGGTAGCTGTGTCTGAGTCCGTGTCTAGGCGTGACGGTGTTGACTCCGCACATTTGTGCATATGTGTGTACGAAGATCTCCACGGGGTCAGCATGCAGGTCTGTGTTCCCAGGCAGAGGGTCTGTTGCAACCGTGTCCCCTGTGTGTCCCCTGCATTGGGGAATGTGTCCTGGCAGCTCAGCAGCCAGGTGTGCCTGGCTTTCTACACGAGGGCACTCAGTTTTTTTTTTGGGGGGGGAGTCTTTCAGGCGATCACTGTCCCCAAGGCCACCCCTATACGGCAGAGAAGTTCCCTGGCTTTACTGAGCCTCAGTTTCCTAAGACCCTTTCCGGCTCTCTCACTGAGGGATTATCCAGGTCTGATGACACAGCTGTGAGTGGGCTTTGAGAAGCCAGAAGGGGCCAGAAGCGGGGCAGGGTGGGCACCCCTAAATATCGAGGCCCTGGCACAGGGCAGGGTGGGGGGCACTCACGTTGTCGCCCGAGGGGTCGTCCTCTGTGCCCGCCTGGATGCCGTAGGCCAGAAAGCAGAGGATGGCTCCGATCCACAGCAGGATTGAGAAACCCCCAAAGAGCTGGCGGCAGAACTTGACCCACTCGGGGGTGGTAGGCGGTGGTGTGAGCGCGTTGGGCCCATCCCGGGCCAGGATCTCCTGGGCTTTGCTGTGGGTCAGACCCTGGGGGACACAGGACTCACACAGAACCCTCCTTGAGCCACCCTGGCTCCCCAACACTTCACAAGCACTCCAGGCCCCCAGGACTCAGGCCCCCAGCCTCTCCTCCATCAGACCAGAGGTCCAGACCCCCAGTCCCTCCTTCCTCAGACCCAGGGGTCCAGACCCCCCAGTCCCTCATTCCTCAAACTCAGGGGTCCAGCCCCCAGCCCCTCCTCCCTTAGACCCAGGGTCCCAGGCCCTCAGCCCTCCTCCCTTAGACCCAATGGTCCAGGCCCCCAGCCCCTCCTCTCTCAGACCCAGGGGTCCAGGCCCCCAGCCCCTCCTCCCTCAGACCCAGGGTCCCAGGCCCCCAGCCCCTCCTCTCTCAGACCCAGGGGTCCAGGCCCCCGTCCCCCCTCCCAGAGTTCCTCCTCCTTCAGGCCCAGCCGCACCTGCACACAGTCCGTGTTGTATTTCCGGCAGACCTCTTCCACTGACATCTTGTGCTCTGTCTGAGGAACAAGAGTTTGGGGGGAGGCAGTGAGAGCCAAGGCTTTTGGGGTCTGGGGCAGGACCTGAGAGCATGAGACCCATCCCCAGCCACATCTCGGCTCTGGGAGGCTGTGCGGGCACAAAGCATGGGGCTTACCATAGCCACCTCCTTCTTGAGGTCATCCAGGTCCCTGCGCTCTTTGGTGCCCTTGCTCTTCTTGGGCGAGCCCTTGTCATCTTTCTTGTCCTGCGAGGTGGCGACACGATAGCTGTCAGAGCCACCAGACTGCGGGCGAGAAGGGGTTACAAGGGGGACACCTGCACTCCCTGCGGGCCCACCTTCACCCTGGCCTGCTTCTGTGTGCCTTGGGCAGGGCTGGCTCTGAGGGTCACAGTCTGTCAGGCTCGTCTGCATCCCCCTGTCTCTGCCCTGTGTCTCTGGGTGGTTGTCTCTCAGAACCCGTGGGTCTCGTCTCTGGCACCGTGTTATCTCTGGGTTTCTGTCCCCGGGGGTCTCTGTTGGGTCTGTCTGTGCTTCTGTCTCTCTGTTTCTGTGCCGATCTCTGTGGCTCTCTCTCCTTCAGTCACTTGGTTTCTCTTTATCTCTGTGTCTCATTCTCCCCCTCCCTGGGCCTGTCCCAGATCCTAGAATGTCCTTCTCTTGCTATGTCTGTCTTTCTCTGTCTCTGAATCTGTCTCTCCAGGTCTCCGTTTCATTCTGTCTTACTGTTCTATTTTGTCTCTTTGTCTCCTACCTCTGTATCTCTCCATCTCTGTCTCTCTGTGGCTGTTTCTCTCCCTGCTCTGTCTCCATCTCTTTATGTCATCTGTCTGTCTATCTGAGCCTCTCAGCATGGGTCTCTGTATAATTCTGTCCGTCTGTCTGATCTCCAGCTCTGTATGTCTCTCTGTCTCATACAATGTCTGTCTGCATCTCCTGAACAATCTCTCCCCATGTCTCGCTGAGTCTCTCTCTGGATTCTCTCTGGGTTCCTGTCTCTCTCCAAGTTACCATGTTGCGGGATTTCAGACTGTCTCTGAGTGTCGCTATTTCCGCCTCGGTGTCTTCCCCCATTCTTCTCTCAGCCTCTCTCTGCCATGAGTCTCTGTCTTTAACTTTCGAGCTATGTCTTCCCTGGAATGCTTGGTGTGTCTGTCCCTCTCCACCTCTCCTGTTTCAATCGCCTTGTCTATCTCTGGCTGTCTCACTCTGCGACCTTCCTGTCCATCCGTCTGTCTGTCTCTCTCGGGTCTATCTCGGCATCTCTGTCCTTCTAGCTCCAGGTCTCCCTGCCTCTGTCACTCTCCCTGTCTTCCAGTCTTCTCTACACAACTCTTTTCCTGGGCCTCTTCCTCAGCCCCATGGTTGTCTCAGTCTCTGTCTCTCGGAGGACCCAGCTAATCCTGGGAGGCCCCACAGGCCCGGCGGGGATGGAGGAAAGGGTACCGCAGCGGTTGGTCACAGCTGGGACAAGAGCCTGGGAGACAGCCTCCTATGTGCATGGTGACACAGCCAGTCCTGGGGGCCCTGACTGACGAGCTGTGGGCCCTGGCCTCTGTCTTGGGGGTTGGCGGCAGCCATGGACAGCTTTGAACAAGGGATGGGCAAGGTCAGGTCTCTGGAGGACAGACTAGGAACTGGCTGGGATTTGGGGTACAGAAGCCCCAGGCCTGGCTTGCCCTGGATGCAGTGTGGTGGGGGGAGGGAGGTGCCAGTCTGGGGGGCTTGGGCAGCTGGGGAAAACAGTGTCCCTGGAGGCTAGCAGGAGGGGTGGGGTGAGGCCAGGTGCTGGGAGAGGGCTGCTGACAGATCCTGTGGGCCCAGAGCCAAGCCAGGATCCCGGGCTCAGGCAGCTCAGGGCTAATCCCCTCACGACCTTGTAGAGGCCTGAGCTGCCTGCGGTCTGCCCCCAGACCCCGAGGCTGAGCCTGGGGGTTACCACAGCCTGGAGGCCCAGGAGTCTCTGTGAAGGTGTCAGAGGGTGGGGGGGGAGGCTTGGCCCCGGACCAGCCCTGCGGCAGCACTGCGTCTGACTCAAAAGCACGGAGGCCTGGGGGACAGGCAGGACACGTCTCCACTGCCTGGGCCAGGAGGGCCCTTACCTCCCCACAGGGGTGGCCCCACGGATGGAGAGATGTGGAGATAGAAGGTCATGGGGTCAAGGTAGAGAAATGAGGGGCAAGGCAGGAGAGGAGAGAGATGGGGGCCTGGCAGAAGTCGGGAAGGAAACCAGCAGCGCCCCCCCCCCCAGAACCTTAGGGAAGGTTGGGAGCTGATGCTTGGAGGGAGGAGGGGCTGGAGGCCTTGGACTCCTGGTCTGAAAAAGGAGGGAGCCAGGGGCCTGGACTCCTGGGTCTGAGGGAGGAGGGACTGGGGGACTAGATTCCGGGGTCTGAGGGAAGAAGGGCCTGGGGGCCTGACTCCTGGGTATGAGGGAGGAGGGGGTTGGGGGTCTGGACTCCTAGGTCTGAGGGAGGAGGGGCTGGTGGCCTGGACTTCTGAGTCTGAGGGAGGAGGGGCTGAGGGCCTGGACCCCTGGGTCTGAGGGAGGAGAGGACCGGGACACCCCAGTCCCTGGCAGGCAAGCCTTGGCTCCTGCTTGCCCTTGCTATGACCAGACTCCCTTGGGGGCGGGCTTCCATCTGTTGGAGGGGGAGCCGAGGCTTTCCCAGTCAAGGCAGGAGGCCCAGATGGGCGCACTGCGGGGCGGGAGCACCTCTGAGGGTGGGGGACACGCCTGTCTCGCTGCAGCCAGTCTCTGCGTCTCCTCACCATTTTCGACTGTCCGCCTCCCCCTGATACCCGCCAGCTCACGCAGCTTCTGCACCTTGGCCAGCCTCTCCCTCCCCCTCTGAGAGTGTCTGGGGCCTTCTCTGAGCATCTCTCTCTCTCCACCTCTCCACCACCCCTTTTGCTCTCTGCCTCCTCCTCCCACCCTTCAGGCTGACTTTGGTGGTCTCTGGATAGGAAATGTCTGTCCTTGGATCTCCTAATCTCAGACTCAGTTTCTCTTTGTCTCTGTATGTCTCTCCATGTCTTTGTCTCACCCACGTCTCTGCATGTCTCTCTGACTGTGTCTTTGTCTCTGCATCTATGTCTCTTTCTCTCTTTCTCTTTCGGAGCATCTCTCTCTGGCCCTGCCTATTTCTTCCGCTCTTTCCATAGGGTTCTGTCTCTCTGTCTGCCACCCATGTCTAAAGGGCCTCTCTTCTCCTGTCCCCTCTTCTTTTCCTTATGCTCCCCTTCCTTTCCTGCAGGGTACGGTCTCAATCTCCTCCAATGTGCCCACACCTCCCTCCATTCCACTTACCTGGAAGCCATCACTAACTTTCATCTCCCCCGCCTTCTCTCTCCCGGTGCTCTCCCACCCAGTTCTTCTCCCCATCCCCCACCCACCCACCCCAAGCCAAAGATCTGCAGCCCCACCCCCCACCTCCATCCCTGGGCCCATCAGTGTTCATCCGCCATCTTTCTCCCCATCCCTCATATTCCCTCTCCATTAGTCTTTTCCATCCCGACTCTGTCTTCCTCCTGCCCAGCCCCCCCACCCCCTTCGCCCACTCTCCCCCTATGGCCCCGCCCCAGACACGCAGGGAGGAATCCAGAGCTGCAGAGGGGATCAGGTGGTCAGCCGGGGAAGGAGGCGGCATCTGCTGGAGAGACTCACAGACAGACAAGGACACACGGACACAGAGGCAAGGGCATAGCCAGACATGCACGATACACTCCCCCCACCCCCTACCCCCCATATGTGCACACATGCGCCCTCAGCCAGGCACGCAATCTCCCTGCCACTGCTCTCCTACTTCTCCCAGCGCCCCCCCCCATATCAGCTTCCTCAGATTAGGGGCTGGACACACACACGTCCCCCCTCCCAGAGTTCCTCCTCCTTCAGGCCCAGCCGCACCTGCACACAGTCCGTGTTGTATTTCCGGCAGACCTCTTCCACTGACATCTTGTGCTCTGTCTGAGGAACAAGAGTTTGGGGGGAGGCAGTGAGAGCCAAGGCTTTTGGGGTCTGGGGCAGGACCTGAGAGCATGAGACCCATCCCCAGCCACATCTCGGCTCTGGGAGGCTGTGCGGGCACAAAGCATGGGGCTTACCATAGCCACCTCCTTCTTGAGGTCATCCAGGTCCCTGCGCTCTTTGGTGCCCTTGCTCTTCTTGGGCGAGCCCTTGTCATCTTTCTTGTCCTGCGAGGTGGCGACACGATAGCTGTCAGAGCCACCAGACTGCGGGCGAGAAGGGGTTACAAGGGGGACACCTGCACTCCCTGCGGGCCCACCTTCACCCTGGCCTGCTTCTGTGTGCCTTGGGCAGGGCTGGCTCTGAGGGTCACAGTCTGTCAGGCTCGTCTGCATCCCCCTGTCTCTGCCCTGTGTCTCTGGGTGGTTGTCTCTCAGAACCCGTGGGTCTCGTCTCTGGCACCGTGTTATCTCTGGGTTTCTGTCCCCGGGGGTCTCTGTTGGGTCTGTCTGTGCTTCTGTCTCTCTGTTTCTGTGCCGATCTCTGTGGCTCTCTCTCCTTCAGTCACTTGGTTTCTCTTTATCTCTGTGTCTCATTCTCCCCCTCCCTGGGCCTGTCCCAGATCCTAGAATGTCCTTCTCTTGCTATGTCTGTCTTTCTCTGTCTCTGAATCTGTCTCTCCAGGTCTCCGTTTCATTCTGTCTTACTGTTCTATTTTGTCTCTTTGTCTCCTACCTCTGTATCTCTCCATCTCTGTCTCTCTGTGGCTGTTTCTCTCCCTGCTCTGTCTCCATCTCTTTATGTCATCTGTCTGTCTATCTGAGCCTCTCAGCATGGGTCTCTGTATAATTCTGTCCGTCTGTCTGATCTCCAGCTCTGTATGTCTCTCTGTCTCATACAATGTCTGTCTGCATCTCCTGAACAATCTCTCCCCATGTCTCGCTGAGTCTCTCTCTGGATTCTCTCTGGGTTCCTGTCTCTCTCCAAGTTACCATGTTGCGGGATTTCAGACTGTCTCTGAGTGTCGCTATTTCCGCCTCGGTGTCTTCCCCCATTCTTCTCTCAGCCTCTCTCTGCCATGAGTCTCTGTCTTTAACTTTCGAGCTATGTCTTCCCTGGAATGCTTGGTGTGTCTGTCCCTCTCCACCTCTCCTGTTTCAATCGCCTTGTCTATCTCTGGCTGTCTCACTCTGCGACCTTCCTGTCCATCCGTCTGTCTGTCTCTCTCGGGTCTATCTCGGCATCTCTGTCCTTCTAGCTCCAGGTCTCCCTGCCTCTGTCACTCTCCCTGTCTTCCAGTCTTCTCTACACAACTCTTTTCCTGGGCCTCTTCCTCAGCCCCATGGTTGTCTCAGTCTCTGTCTCTCGGAGGACCCAGCTAATCCTGGGAGGCCCCACAGGCCCGGCGGGGATGGAGGAAAGGGTACCGCAGCGGTTGGTCACAGCTGGGACAAGAGCCTGGGAGACAGCCTCCTATGTGCATGGTGACACAGCCAGTCCTGGGGGCCCTGACTGACGAGCTGTGGGCCCTGGCCTCTGTCTTGGGGGTTGGCGGCAGCCATGGACAGCTTTGAACAAGGGATGGGCAAGGTCAGGTCTCTGGAGGACAGACTAGGAACTGGCTGGGATTTGGGGTACAGAAGCCCCAGGCCTGGCTTGCCCTGGATGCAGTGTGGTGGGGGGAGGGAGGTGCCAGTCTGGGGGGCTTGGGCAGCTGGGGAAAACAGTGTCCCTGGAGGCTAGCAGGAGGGGTGGGGTGAGGCCAGGTGCTGGGAGAGGGCTGCTGACAGATCCTGTGGGCCCAGAGCCAAGCCAGGATCCCGGGCTCAGGCAGCTCAGGGCTAATCCCCTCACGACCTTGTAGAGGCCTGAGCTGCCTGCGGTCTGCCCCCAGACCCCGAGGCTGAGCCTGGGGGTTACCACAGCCTGGAGGCCCAGGAGTCTCTGTGAAGGTGTCAGAGGGTGGGGGGGAGGCTTGGCCCCGGACCAGCCCTGCGGCAGCACTGCGTCTGACTCAAAAGCACGGAGGCCTGGGGGACAGGCAGGACACGTCTCCACTGCCTGGGCCAGGAGGGCCCTTACCTCCCCACAGGGGTGGCCCCACGGATGGAGAGATGTGGAGATAGAAGGTCATGGGGTCAAGGTAGAGAAATGAGGGGCAAGGCAGGAGAGGAGAGAGATGGGGGCCTGGCAGAAGTCGGGAAGGAAACCAGCAGCGCCCCCCCCCCCCAGAACCTTAGGGAAGGTTGGGAGCTGATGCTTGGAGGGAGGAGGGGCTGGAGGCCTTGGACTCCTGGTCTGAAAAAGGAGGGAGCCAGGGGCCTGGACTCCTGGGTCTGAGGGAGGAGGGACTGGGGGACTAGATTCCGGGGTCTGAGGGAAGAAGGGCCTGGGGGCCTGACTCCTGGGTATGAGGGAGGAGGGGGTTGGGGGTCTGGACTCCTAGGTCTGAGGGAGGAGGGGCTGGTGGCCTGGACTTCTGAGTCTGAGGGAGGAGGGGCTGAGGGCCTGGACCCCTGGGTCTGAGGGAGGAGAGGACCGGGACACCCCAGTCCCTGGCAGGCAAGCCTTGGCTCCTGCTTGCCCTTGCTATGACCAGACTCCCTTGGGGGCGGGCTTCCATCTGTTGGAGGGGGAGCCGAGGCTTTCCCAGTCAAGGCAGGAGGCCCAGATGGGCGCACTGCGGGGCGGGAGCACCTCTGAGGGTGGGGGACACGCCTGTCTCGCTGCAGCCAGTCTCTGCGTCTCCTCACCATTTTCGACTGTCCGCCTCCCCCTGATACCCGCCAGCTCACGCAGCTTCTGCACCTTGGCCAGCCTCTCCCTCCCCCTCTGAGAGTGTCTGGGGCCTTCTCTGAGCATCTCTCTCTCTCCACCTCTCCACCACCCCTTTTGCTCTCTGCCTCCTCCTCCCACCCTTCAGGCTGACTTTGGTGGTCTCTGGATAGGAAATGTCTGTCCTTGGATCTCCTAATCTCAGACTCAGTTTCTCTTTGTCTCTGTATGTCTCTCCATGTCTTTGTCTCACCCACGTCTCTGCATGTCTCTCTGACTGTGTCTTTGTCTCTGCATCTATGTCTCTTTCTCTCTTTCTCTTTCGGAGCATCTCTCTCTGGCCCTGCCTATTTCTTCCGCTCTTTCCATAGGGTTCTGTCTCTCTGTCTGCCACCCATGTCTAAAGGGCCTCTCTTCTCCTGTCCCCTCTTCTTTTCCTTATGCTCCCCTTCCTTTCCTGCAGGGTACGGTCTCAATCTCCTCCAATGTGCCCACACCTCCCTCCATTCCACTTACCTGGAAGCCATCACTAACTTTCATCTCCCCCGCCTTCTCTCTCCCGGTGCTCTCCCACCCAGTTCTTCTCCCCATCCCCCACCCACCCACCCCAAGCCAAAGATCTGCAGCCCCACCCCCCACCTCCATCCCTGGGCCCATCAGTGTTCATCCGCCATCTTTCTCCCCATCCCTCATATTCCCTCTCCATTAGTCTTTTCCATCCCGACTCTGTCTTCCTCCTGCCCAGCCCCCCCACCCCCTTCGCCCACTCTCCCCCTATGGCCCCGCCCCAGACACGCAGGGAGGAATCCAGAGCTGCAGAGGGGATCAGGTGGTCAGCCGGGGAAGGAGGCGGCATCTGCTGGAGAGACTCACAGACAGACAAGGACACACGGACACAGAGGCAAGGGCATAGCCAGACATGCACGATACACTCCCCCCACCCCCCACCCCCCCCACCTCCACACCTGCGCCCCCCGCCCGGCACCCCATCCCCCCGCCACTGCCCTCCTACTTCTCCCAGCGCCCCCCCCATATCAGCTTCCTCAGATTAGGGGCTGGACACACACACATCCCCAGGCCACCTGCCGCACTGCGGAGCCCCCCCATCCAGGCCTGGAAGGAGAAAGAGAGGTCATCTGGTGCTCACCCCATAGCCCAGACCTGTCCCCACCCGGCTAGGGAAGCAGAGGGGTTTCAACACCCCCAGACACAAACACCAGCTCTCAGACACACCCAGACACGAATGCAGTCAGACACAACCTGGGCCACACGATCGCTGGCAGACGGTGCTGGCAGGACCTGACAGAGCCAGGAGCTCACGCGCGCACACACGCACACACACACATACGGTGGAGCGTGCAACCGCACCAGGTCAGGCAGAGCTGCCGAGGGCCGGTCGGTGCCCCACGGACCTCGCACACAAAGACACGCCAACATACGCCACAGACCCCGCGGCCCCAGGCGGCCCCGCGCACACGCTCAACCAGCGGCACAACCAAACGGACGGGCCGGGTCCCGTGGACCTGGCCCCGGAGCGCAGGGGTTCCGGAGCCCCCGCCCCCCGCAGACACCCAATGTCACTGGACCCACAATGTCGCACACACGCACGGCCCGGCCGGCCCCAGCACCTACCCCCATCTTGGCGGCTCCGGGGGAGAGGGGTGGGCGGGCGGGGCGGGGGCCGGGGCAGAGGCCTCAGAGCGGGCTCAGGCGCGGGCTCGGGCTGGGGGGCCTCTGCAGCGCCCGCGCCTCGGTCCGCGGGTCTGTCCAGCCGGCAGCCCTCCCGCACAGAGTCTGCGGCGGCCGCCGCCTCCGCCTCCTCATATGCCCGCGCCCGCGGGGGGGCCGGCGCCGGCCAATCAGGGGCGCCGCCGCCCTGACGGATGGCCCGCGGCCCCGCCCCTGGTACTGCAGCTGTCCTCCCCGCCCCCCAGCCTCCGCAAAGTGGCGGCACCGCCGAGAAGGGGGAGCGTCGCAGAAGGGGGGATCCCGGAGACCCCGCAATGAAGAATGTGGAGACCCCCGCAATGGGGCGCTGAGGAAGATAGGGCCCCCCAAATCGCCTCACTGTGGGGGTGTTGCCACAGCGAGAGAAGGGTGCCCTGGGGGAGGTGGACACCGGGTTGGGGGAAAGCCCTTTAAACCACCACAGTAAGGCAGCGGACACAGCGGACTGGAAGGGGGGCTGGAGACCTTGTGGAGGTGTTGTTCAGGAGGGGGAGCTGCAGGGCGCCTAAGACGCAAGGAAGACCCTACAGTGAGGAGGGTTGCTGCAGAGGGGAAATGAGCCTTGAGTTCCTCTCAGTAGTGTGCCCCACACACACACAATGGCAGATTTCTGCAGGGAGACCCATCACAGCCAGAGGACCCCATCAAGCCTCACACTCACGCCCAAGCATCACCCAGATAGCTCAGATGGGGAGGACACACACATCCAGCACCCATCACACACCAGCACAGTTTCACCATCACATTCCAAAACACACCAGCGCGGATGCTCACACACATACCACAACACCCCATCACACAACCCGAGATTCACCAACATGTGGAAATAAAATGCACCCCCTCACATCGCAGCGGAATTACAACCATGGTCATAAATGGCCGTGTAGACTCACACCCTGCGAACACTACATCACAGACGTGCACATCACACACTCCACCACCGCACCTGGCCTCGAATCATTTCACACAGAGACCCACAACCACGCAGCCCATCAACCCACAGACCCACACATACCCACACACGGTACCATCACCTGCTTACAGGCCTCGCACTCCCCCACGCACCCCAGGATCCTCTGTGGTCCCTGCTGCAGTCACACAACAGCACACACATAACCACCCACACTCCTTCCCAGGGGGCAGAAGTCCACAGGGCACAATTGCCAAAGTGTCGCTGATTGTGAATGACAGACAAAAAGGTGCACAGACTCACACACAGGACAATAATTCCCAGAGACAGATCTCATGACACCGTCCCCACTTCCCACACTGCACAGACCTTTGCTGCACTTACAAACAACCCCCCAGTGTCCCCACCCACATGCCACACATGTCCCAGCTCAGCGTGCGTATGCACACACCCCCCCAGGCCTGTCACATACACACAACACCCCATCAGCCACTCGTCATAGCCCCAGCAGTCACAGCCTCTCACCCCCCACTCTTTGCTCTCTGAGGAACACCTCAGACTTGCCCTGGGGATTATAGAAGGGGCAGAGAGCAAGTGAAAGTCTGTCCCTGTAGCTTCCTCAGAATGTGGGTATTCTCCCCACCTGTGGGAGTGGAGGTGTGGGGGACACAGGCAAGGGGCACAGAGTGGGCCTGGTGTGTGTGGGGGTGGGTGGGTGGTGAAGGTTAAAGGTCTGATCAGGGAAATATGTGAAAAGCTAAAAGCCAGAATGAGGCACAAAAAAAGATAAAGAGAAACAGAGAGACAGATTTGAAGCTGAAGAGAGACAGACACGGACAAGGAGACAGGGCCTGGGAGTAAAGGGGGACAGGAAGTCAGCTTCCCTGGCTTTCCCCAGCACCCAGAGCCTCAGCCCAATCCTGTACTCTGACCCATCCCCATCCCTCCCTGCTGTCCCTTGTTGCCATGGTAATAGGGAGGCCGAATATGCAGCAAAGGAGGCTGGGCCTGCAGACCTGGCCCGTCTCCATGGAGACTGGGGAAGGGGGGGGGAGCCACATCTTCTAGCCCAGGTGATTGGCCCCCAGGTCCCCTCTGCAATTCTGCCCCCTTCCTGGGGGTGTGTGTGGTGGGGGGAGGATCTGTCAACATATTGTCTCTCCCCACCCCCCACCTACACCTTATCTGTTTCTGGCAGGGATGGGCCTGGACCACGGGTAAGGGGGTTGGGGGGACAGAGATGCCTAAAGATGTTTGGACCCCAGGAGATTCTAGGTTCTCTCTCTCCCTGTTCTCCAGTTCGGCTGAGGGAGACCTCAGCCCCACCAGGCGACACCCTAGATACAGGCTTGTGTCCCCCTTTATGCACTCCCTCCTCAGACACAAGCCTGGTGAGACTGATGACTGTGCACCATGCTCCCAGCGCGAGGCTCTGCGGAAGTTGGGGTGGGGAGGAGGGAAGACTTAGGAAGGTCACAGGGATGGACAGGGACAGGGGAGCTTGGTGAGGGAGACATAAGAAGAGACTTAAGAGGAGAAATGGACACAGTTCAGAACCAGGTAGAAGCAGATACAGATTGACAAAGGCAGGGAGACTGGCAAAGACAGATTAAAAAAAACGAACGGAGGGAAATAAGAGCAACAGAATTACTCCGTGAAGGTGACAGAGAGCCACAGGGACATGGAGAGCCAGGAAGAGACACATTTGGCAAACTGGGGAGACTCAGAGATAAAGACCAGGGAGATACATGGAGCAGAATCAGGGAGGGGTGGGAAGACTCGGAAATGGGGAGAGACCTCATAGATCAGCTGCATGGTATGGGGACAGAAAGCTGGAGAGACCAAAAATATCTGCAATCATATTCTAGTCACCTCAACAGACTGAACGTCTATCCCAAGGGCAGAGACATTGATTAAAGTCTGACCAATAGATGTGGGGCCAAAGAGACCCTGAGACAAGCTCGCCCCCACACCTGTCCCCAAGGCGCACACACACAGCAAGGGCCGGAGACCCAGAAGGGGCTGAGCAGAGACTGGGGGTGCTATGTACCAGGTGAGGAGGTCTCCTGGATGTGGCCTGCCTAAGCTCCGCGAAGGCAGGCGGGCCCTGCAAGGGAGACAGGGCAGTGTGCACCAGTCCCCACCATGCCGGTGCTGAACGGACAGCTCCCGGATTCCGGCAGCCTGCGGGAGAGGAGGGCCCAGCCTCTCCACTCCCAGCCCAGTCTCACTCCGTCTGGCTTTCCTCATCGCTCCAGCCCCCTCCCCTCTCCATCTAGTTTTCTTTGGCTTCCCATCTCTAGCCAGCCTCTGTCTCACCTCAAGCTATGCTTCTCTCAGCACCAGTTCCCTTGGGTCTAACTTCCCTGCTTCATCTATCTCCCTGCCTGTCTCGGTCTCTTGTCCCCTTCTCCATTCTATCTCACCTAATCACGGTGTCTCCCTCTGCCTCTCCCCCTCCCTCTTGGCCCCCTCCTAGTCTCTCCCCATCTCTCTCTCCCCCACCCCTGTCCCATCTCTTCCTCGCTCTCCACTTCTCCACCTCTCCCCCTTCTACTCGGCCTCGTTATGGCTCTCGCTGTGTGACCTTCACTCGTCCTTTCTCAGCTGCAGTTTCCAGTGGAAACCTCCAGCGGAGCACGGGGAGGGGGGGGGTGGAGAGGGAGGGAAGGAGGGAAGGCGGGGACAGAAAGCAGACCCACCCCTCTCCCTACCCCTCTCCCTGCTCAACCAGCCCTTCAGCCATCCCCGCCACCCCTACCACTGGGATTTCTCACTTCCTCTCTTGGGGGTTGGGAAGGCACACTTTCAGCAGAAACACGGGGTCACAGCCATAGACAGTTGAAGACAGCCTCACGGGCGTACATACAAACACATGTTCACAATTAAAAAGTTACCAGATCACCCTGGCTCCAGCACACACTTGTCACCGTGTGGCCACACCAGGCACCGCCACACTAAACAGTTCTCTAACCCTCCCCACCCCCCAACCCCATCTGGTTTCTTTCTGTGTCTCTGTTCCCTGGTGTCTCCGCCTCTCCAGATCCCTGCATCTTTCTCCATCTGTCTCAGGGTCTCTGTCACAGCCTCCTTCTGTCCTGAGAGAAGGTCAGTGGAGAGGGGCCAGCTGCCAGGACCTGGGCTGACCTGCTGCCTGAGGGCAGGGCCCAAGGGTGAAGAGAGTCCAGGAGTGACCATCCAGTGTGTGGTTCTCAGCAGACTCCCTGGGGAGCCCAAACCTTTAATGCCCTCACATCCCCAGGAAATGAGACCCAGGTATCCCCAGTTTTGGGGTTTTGTTCTTTTTTTTATTCCAACAGGGACCGGGGGTGTGGCAGGGGGAGGGATGGGGGCCCAACTGACCTCCTCCCTGGGGGGGTCTCATAGAAATTCCGAGGTTTCTCCCCAAAAAAAAGAGAGAAAGAGAAGAGTTAAGGGGCGCCAGGGGACACCCATCTGCCCAGAAGCCATCCCCTCCTCCAGAAGTAGGGAGGGCTGTGTCAAGTCTTGGGGAGCCTGAGCAGTCCCAGGATGGGGCTCTCCTCGCGGACTGCTTTCCGCTTCTGGAATGGCCCCGCAGTCCCCGGCCCCTGAAGTCCTCGGTTCCTGCGCTCATGTCCGCAGTTGGGGGCGGAGTGCAGGGTCCGCGGCACCCTCTGGCGAGTCCACTAGGGGGCGCAGGCAGGCTCCGGAGCCGGGCCTCGGACTTCACCACGAGCCGAAGGCAAAATCGCGGCGTCCGGAGTACCCGGGGCACAAGTCCCGTCCCTTGTCCACTGGGGAAACGGGAGCGGCCCGGGCCTGGGGCGGGCCCCGTCCCTGCAATCAGTCCGGCCGCCAGCCCGGCTCCGCCCGTGGTCACTCGTGCTCGGCCAGCTCTCGGGGGCCGGTGGGGCCCGGCCGCGGCCGGGGCGGGCTGGTGGCTTCGGCGGGGGCACCTAGGCCACGCGGGGGCGCGCCGGCCCCGGACGCCCGCAGCGCCTGGATGCGCCGACATTCCTGGCAGACGCGCACGTGGGTGC